GGGAGTACATGTATCTGAAATACATAGTCCTTGAATTTTGAGTATTTTGGCGTTGATGGCCTAGTGGTTAGGTTCTCGGACTTGCAACCGTAAGGCCGTGGGTTCGAATCCTGTCAGGGACCCGACGTGGTGTCCTTGGGAAAGACACTTTACACGAATTTTCCTCTCTTCACCCTGGTGGATATGGGTATACCCAGCTATAGACAGTGAAAAATCTTGTCAGTTTGTTAGTGTCTGAGCGCTCAATCAGCTGCTTGCACTGTATGCTTATGGGGAAGCTGAAAATGTTTCTGAGTGTTATATGGTGTGCTTGGGTAATAATTTAGTGTAAATCATGTAGAGCTTGCTGTGGAGAAGGGTTACACGCTATACAAATGCTATTTATTATTATTATTATTATTTCTATTATTCTGAGTATTCAATCAAGTCACGCTTCACGTCGTGAGAAGCATGACATAACATAACATAACATAACATAACATAACATAACATAACATAACATAACATAACTTAACATAACATAACATAACATAACAACATAACATAACATAACATAACATAACATAACATAACATGACATAAGATGACATAACATGACATAACATAACATAACATAACATAACATAATGATCATTGTCTTTGGCAGGGTCCAAGAAGCTTGCTAGCGTCTCATTTGGGGGTGCGGCTGGCGGGGGCGTGGCAGCTTCCGGAGGTGGTGACCAGGTCGCAGACGGCGGGCAGGCTGAAGGCAAGTACAAGTTGGCGGGCCTTGGTGGCGCGTCATGACGCCGTGGAATCAGGCGCTCGTCAAGTTTTGAACACACAGGGTTATTTACCCTATTTGTATGCCCTTGGGTCATTTTGAACCACCGAGGTTGTATTCTTCACATTTGAGAATACTTCTAGTACGAAAATCTCTTTGAAACTTTCAGTGTTTCCCCAAAAAATCATTTTGACAGACTGCTTTGCAAGAGTACAGATCGGATTAACGAGTAAATTTCCTCTTTGGGATGTGAAGGCACAGAGTTCCCTGCGTCGTATGGGTACGACAGTAAAACACGACGTACGGATAGGGATAATAGAAATTATAGGAAAACGTGTCTATTTGTCTTGCATTTGGCGCCCCCCCCCCAAAAAAAAATAAAAATAAAAATACCCACCTATCTTGAATAGAAGTCAAGATATTTGCGGTTGAAGAAAGTGGGGGTCGCCGGGTGCCGGAGGTAAATTTATCGAGAAAAAGGCCACCAAACTTTGGTTAGTTTCTAAGCTTGAGAGTCTTTGGAAACTGAACATTTTTAGTGCCTCTAACCTTCGTTTGTTGTCTGCAGTATCCACTCAGAAATAGTTTTTTATATCGACATTAAAAGTGTTGAGCAAAAAAACAAAAAAACAACAACAAAAAACCACTTAATTA